TTGAGAAGGGGAAGTACATTTTCAGCAAATTTTCATTTTTTTGGGTGGACCATTCTTTTAACATAATTTTGTCTTTGATGTCTGCCAAAATGTAAAGGCATGAAAGATCATGAAAACAAACACTGGAATAACATGCACTCATGAATCATGTACAATGTGACCACTAGCATATAAAGGAAGTAAATCTGGTCTGTTTTGAATTCATGTTGACTATAAAGTGCGAGCCAACAGATAGGTTAGTTGAAGTGGGTGGGGGGCATGTTCTCTCAGTTACATATTTCTGGAAATTTCCGTTGTATGTCTCCGTCTGCTCCAGGATGGGAGGGGTGTGCGTGTTATGGAGAAGTAGAGAGCAGTGGTTTGGGACTGGAGTTGGGGTTTGAGAGTTGGCCATGAGCCAGACCCAGCAGAAAGCTTGCTGGTTCACACGGACAAAAGCAGTAATGAGTTCCAAGGATGTCTGTGGTGGACATGACTGTCATCATCCACCCCAACCCCCTTCAACAGTGTCCGATCCATTGTAGACAAGACCTAAGTTCAAGGTATAAAACAGACTTTGGCCACCTCAGGGACACTGAGGTGCTCTTAAAGGTGCTTTTAAATTTAAATTTAAAAAGCGTTAAATTTTTAACGCTTAAAAGCGTTAATTTTAAGTGTGATTTAGGTGTCAAAATAATTTCTGGGACCACTGCATTGTTTTTGAAAGAAACAGAAACTGAACATTTTCTCTGTGGTTTTTGTCCATAATGAAAGTCATAGGGATTTGATGTTGTTTTGACCCCAACGTTCTTCAAAATATCTTCTTCTGTGTTTCATAAAAGAAAGGAAGTCAGGTTTGGAATGACATGAGGGTGAGTAAATAATGACAGAATTCAAATTTTTGGATAAACATTTTGGATCTCTTTTAGCAATTTGCACTGTTACAAATAAAATACATAGAATAGAATAGAATAGAATAGAAGGTTTGTTTATCAGCAATCAGCTAAGGCCAGTGGAATTTATTCCACTTACTTACAGTGTGATGGCACATATGTGCTGCATTGCATCTTAAGTTACAGGGACGGTCCCACTGGAGCAACCTAGGGTTAAGTGCCTTGCTTAAGGGCACAATGATGATACGAAGTACAAAGATTGCCCTTATAACCTACAACCTGCTTTCACTGCTCCCAATCTTTATCCACAAAGCCACATTAGAGAAACCAATGTTTGACAGAGGTCTTTTAAAAGCTCAAGTACACACTAGCACAGGTTAGAGGATGTTTTTCTAACCCGAATTGTGCTCGCAGTTTTTCAGTGTATGGTTTGGAGCAACGCAGATGACCCCCCCAAAATAACATCTTCTTCTCTAAAAGAATGTACAAATTGCTTTTGTGTTGCAGACAAGGTTAGTACTGCTCTTCTATTCCACTGCAAGTTGTGTGCTTGCACTTCTTTTCATTTACCAAATAAAAATGCGTTGATCCTAGTTAACACTTCATGCTTATCACAATGGGACTGACTCAACAGTTAAACTAAATGTTTTAATTAAACTGTGACGATCTTTATTTGATGAAGTCTGTGCTGCAGGGCAACTACAGCTCGCCCACATAGTGTTATGAAAGTCTTTCAGATGCCATTGCTACCTCCTCATAGTACAGCTTTATTTATTTTTATATGTGTGTGTTTCTATAGTGACAGTGCTGGTAGCACTCGAAAACAGGACAGCCCCTCATTCCTTGACAATGTTGACATGATGCTGTTTTCACACTTTCACCAGCATACATTCAAATATTAGAAGGACTCCCAAAATTGAGGATTTATTTCACATAACATTCATCATGAAAAAAAGACTACAAGAATTTTTAAATATTACTACTGAGTATTTCAGAGTATTTAAAGGGGTCATATAATGCTACATGCACTTTTACAAGTTGTTCTCCTTTAAGGAATTCACCCAAAAATGAAAATTTGTTGAAAATGTACTCCCCCCTCAGGACATCCAAGATGTAGATGAGTTTGTTTCTTCATCAGATTTGTAGAAATGTAGCATTGCATCAGTGTCTCAGCAATGGATGCTCTGCAGTGAATGGGTGCCGTCAGAATGAGAGTCCAAACAGCTGATAAAAACATCACAATAACCCAAATCGCCTCTGGCCAAAATACCACTACATAATCCATAATAGGGCTTCCTCCATTGATGACATCAAAATCCACCAGCATATTGGTTTAGATCTGTTTCAGAGTGTTTTCACTTGTAAGCGGTGCCTGATCTGTGCATATTTCTTTACGGATTCAGACGAGTTCATTTTCAGCAAATTTTATTTTTTGGGTGAACTACACCTTAGAGCAGTGAATCTCAACCTTTTGGTGTACCGGACCCCAGTTCAATTCAGAACCATCCTCAAGGACCCCCAGAACAAAATTGCCTCATCTATGTATGTCTTTGTGAGGACCAAATGTAGTCAAGTATAATTTAAGTTAGTTGACCATATCAGCATGGCCATATCATCAGCTATATTGGATTTTTCTTTCATGGGAACATGTCAAAATATGCTAAATGTATACAAAAATTCATACTTTATACGGACCCCCTGGCCTTACGTCAAGGACCACTAGGGGTCCACGGACCCCTGGTTGAGAACCACTGCCTTAGAGAACCCTTTAAACATAAAGCCAAGCAAGAAACCAAAGAAAGTTAACAAATACTGAGGCTTAAAAAAAAAACACTTTAATCTGGTCAGATTGGTGCTTTGGTTGAGTTATAGTACCTCTGAGCCATGTTGGCACAAATGAACCATGAAACATGAATATTATCAAGTTTTATCAATTTATTTTTTTAAGATGAAGATACTGTTTGTGCTTGTCAAAGCATCATAGTGGTTTTAGTACTGAAATTAGTTTATAATATATCAGTGGACATAATATTATTCAAAACGGAGTATATACAAAGTAACTGTGCTGTGCATGATGTCTCTTCATAACTGCAGTTCATTGAAATAAGTGGAATTATTTGAGAAGTATGTTGAAGACTTCTCACAAAGCCTGTCAGGTCTCTTCCTCATTTTCATCTTGCCCAGAGTAATAAAAAGAAAGCAAAGAGGGCAAATCTGTCTCCTTGACTGTGTATCAGTAAAAATGTCTAGATGATACTGACACTAACAGTTGAGCGTGGCGCTAGCAACGCCAAGGTCATGGGCTCAATTCGCAAAAGCTGAAATATGAAATAAAAAATCAATGCAATGTAAGTCACTTAAACGCGTCTGCCAAATGCATAAAAATGCAAAATGTCAAAATGTAATAGTTTAAATTCTTTCGAAAGACTACAGCTTTAAAACAAATGGTCACAAATAGCTTAAAAATGCTCTGTCTTTAATACAACTTCAACCAACAGGTGAGCCAAAAAGCTTGATTTATAAATACACAAGCTTTGACCAAAAACAGGCTGATTTAAAATTCTGAATTCAGTTCCCTTATAGTAGTTCCTGTTCCTGAAACAACACACCTGCCAGCTACCTCTGCATCTGACAGCTGTCCGTAAAAAGACAGGCACGACTGCAACATTCATAACTTCCTGACTGCTGTTTGTAGATATGTATAAAGTATACACATTTAAAGCTGGCTGTCTGGATATCTTTCGAGTCCTCAGTTTACTTTACTCAGGAAGTAATACATGCAAACATATGATATGAACATGCAATGGTCCACTGACTGGCGATGTGAGTTAATGGCAAATGCACTGACCGCATTTTATAAGCTTAATTTCGGCTTTCATTTACATGTTTTGGCTCATTGCATATAACACTGGTTTCTGCCATGGCCATTCACACAAGTCAGTCAGCACTATAATCACAGCTGATGTATCAGATGTCAACAATTAACTGATTGTTTTACATTTTAGAAAAGAAATTTGAGGGAGGCATGAATGTCATTGTATATGTTATTCTATAGCCTATTACGTTTATATTTTAAACACCAAACAAATGGCTTTGATATGATGATCCATACAGAATTATTGTTTAATAATACAGATGTTGCAAATAATAAAAGCACGTTTATTACATAATCGCAATTAGGCTATTCTGAAATAATTACAATTAAAGTTTTCCTCTTCTAAGATTTAAGAATGGTCTAGGGCATGCCCTGAATACTAATTATGCATTCATAATATTAATATATTCACGCAGCTCAAACATTACAGCAATTACAACGCAACTACATAATGTCATAAATATTCTGTTAATGTCTTCTGATGGCACTATTGCAATAGCTTCACATTTCCCGAGTGGGTGTTAAATTGAAAACATCTCTGGCGTGGGTCACCTGTCGGCACTGCGGGAAATTTACATAAAGCTCTGTAGCAGTGACTCTCGCATGCATTGCTTACATAGCAACCTAAAATAAAAACATTTGCTTTGTCACAAGCGCTTATGCATTTTTCAGTGCATTGTGAATCCTCTTGGAAACAGGAGCAGAATGGCTACGCAGAAGCCTGATGGGAGGTGTGGAGGGGCCGTCTTTGATCTTTAAATACCCTCTAACATTACAACCACACTCCATCGCTTTGATTTCTCAAGGCGCGACTGCAACATTCAGACGCTCCCTAAGCGCGCCACATCGCCTTTTCTTTTCTTTTTTTTTTCTTCGCTTTACCATCTGTCCCTTTCTTCCATTTCACGCAGAAGCAGCGGACACTCGCCCTTCAGATGTGTGCAGCCGTATGCCTCCCC